TTTCTTCAGGGCTGCTTTCCAAGCCCACTCTGACATCACCTGAACTATTCCTTTTTTTTTTTTTCCCACGTCAGATAGGTAATGTCCTGACATTGTAACAAGGTTTGAGGAAGGCACAACTCATACATGTGTGTGACAACCCATCCACAAGCTTATGAACTAGAAAAAAGATCACTACTCCATTTTTTGCTTTTTCATTTTCCCACAAGGGTGCCAGTTTACCATCCAGCTACCCAATGTTGACCTCTGAACTTGGAATTAATTTTCCAGAGAATAAAGGTGTTTGATAAAGTGATCTTTTTTTTAATTTTATTTTTTTAAATTTTTTATTTCCATAGGTTTTGGGGGAACAGGTGGTATTTGGTTACATGAGTAGGTTCTTTAGTGGTGATTTGTAACATTTTGGTGCACCCATAACCCAAGCAGTATACAATGAACCTGATTTGTAGTCTTTTATCCCTCACCCCCTTCCCACCATGTCCCCGCTGCAAGTCTCCAAAGTTCATTGTATCATTATGATGCCTTTACATCCTCTTAGCTTAGCTCCCACTTATGAGTGAGAACATATGATGTTTGGTTTTCTATTCCTGAGTTACTTCACTTAGAATAATAGTCTCTATCCCATCCAGGTTGCCGTGAATGCTATTAATTCATTCCTTTTTATGGCTGAGTAGTATTTCATTATATATATTTAATTATATATATGTTATATATACATGCATGTATATATATGCATATATACGTGTGTATATATAACATATACATGTGTGTATATATACGTGTATATATATGTGTATATACATATATACACATACACATGTATATATGTATATATATGCACACACACATACTATAGCTATATAGCTACATATACCCCACAGTTTCTTTATCCACTTATTGATTGATGGGCATTTGGGTGATAAAATGATCTCTATGTGACATTTTAACTCAAAAGTTTTATGATTCTTATTTGTTTTAGGAGTTCACATTACTACTTTTGCCAAAAATCTTAATGTCCAGCTTTAAAGACATTTCCTAATTTGACTACATTTTTTTGAGCAATTGTGTCTTCCCTCAAGCCTTGGTCCTTCCTGTCACCCAACCATGCCAATGTCTTCTGTCACATGCTTGCTCCATTGTTCATACACTTTCCTCATTGTTAATTAGCTCATTTCTCTTCTTGCTGCCACCCATTCTTTAGGAATCTGACAGGGGAGATTATAAGTAAGAATGATGTGTGATAGATGAAGATGAAAAATAAAATAAGGTAACATCGGGCCAGGTCAATGTGTGATAGATGAAGATGAGAAAATAAGGTAACATTGAGCTAGGTCTTTTTCTGTGGTCTCTGAGGCTTACTTTCTAACGAATGAGGCCTTCTTGTTCTTATGAAAGGCATTATGACTGCTGGCAGCCCTATGTTTACATCCTTCAAGGTGTTAAATCCCATGGAGAACCCTAATTGACTCTGATTGGTTCATGAGACTATTGTTGCTGTTGGAAGAATGGTCCAGTCCACTCTGAATGACTAGGCCTGGTCAATGTGTTTTCCAGTTGGTGGTAGGCAGTGGGTTTTGTGGCTATAACCAAAGTGAAAACAGTGCGTTACCAGAAGTAGGAAGGGCTATTGCACTAACCAAAACAATTGATGTTCACTATAGTCTCTACAGGTTCACCTGACATAATATATCCCCCCAATATGTAAACATGTACATAAATATATTCATTCACTGATTCAAAGACTATAATATGGTCTTGTCTACCTGAGGCAAATGTCCAGCTATTCAGGATTGCAGCAGACAATGGTGGATGTCTAGTACATATTTACACCCTCACTCACTTTTCATAAAGCAGAGTATCTGCTAAGATGCTGCTGCTCAGTCACTACAATTCCCACCATGAGATTAGCTCCTGTAAATGGAATATGAGTAGAGGTGTTCCACTCCCAAGCCAAGATGATTAAGAAGCAGATGTGCCTTTCTCTATTTTTGCTTTTCCTTTTCCTCAGTTAGAAGCAAAAGTCATGGAACCTTTAGGTGCTGGCAGCGCTACACCCTGAGTCATCATGTGGAGTGTTATGTGCCAAACATTCTCACTGAATTGTGTAAAGAAAAAAATATGCTTTTATTATTAAGTCACCAATATTTGGGTATTCATCTTCTGTAGCAGCTAGTGTTAACCTAATGAAATGGGAAACATCCACATAACTGACATCACTCAGAGAAAAGAAAAAAGTGTTTTAAATTGACAATAGCATTGATCTTCTTCCTCGATGCATAATAGAAACTCCCTGAAGGTAGAGACTTTCCCTGTTCTCTTCAATGTTGTATCCCAAATACTAGAACAGCTACTGACACATAGTAGGTGCTCAATAAATATTTGTTGATGAATGATGTAGTAATTTTTTAAATTGCTGCATGAAGAATTACTACAATCATAGTGGCTTAAGCAACACACATTAATTATTTCACAGTTTCTGTAGGTCAGGAGTCTGAGAATGGCTGCTATAACTTGGTCCTTTGCTCAGGATCTCACAAAGCTACAATCAAGGTATCAGCTGCAGCTAGTTTCTCATCTGAGGCTCAGTGACCTCTTCCAAACTCATACTGGCAGTATTAATTTTCTCAGAGCAGTAGAATCTGTGGTAGCTTACTTCTTCAAAGCCAGTGGGAAAGAGAGTTCCTTACCTCTGGACCCTCGTTTCCATGGGATTTTTACTAGGTGAGCTGATTTAGGTTAGGCTCACCCAGTAAACATCTCGTTTTTAATTAACTTACAGAAAACTGATTATGGACCTTAATTACATCTGAAAAGCCGTTGTATTCTCGTCATAAAATGTAAGCTAATCAATGTAGTGACTATTCTAATACCTTTTCCGTATTTTTAGAATATGGAACTTAGAAGCAAGTTCTAGGTTCTGCCCATATTTAAAGGAGGTTGTTATACAAGGGTTTTACTTACTGTGAGTTATTTTAGAATTCTGCCTACCTCAAAGGACAAAATATTTTGAAAATAATGCTTATACTTTAAAATGTGGATATAGAACATTATTTTATTTTATTTTATTTTATTTGTTTTTGAGACAGAATCTTACTCTGTCACCCAGGCTGGAGTGCAGTGGCATTATGTCAGCTCACTGCAAACTCTGCCTCCTAGGTTCAAGGGATTCTCCTGCCTCAGCCTCCCGAGTAGCTGGGATTACTGACATGCAACACCACAGCTAATTTCTTGTATTTTTAGTAGAGATGGGGTTTCACCATGTTGGCCAGGCTGGTCTTGAACTCCTGACCTCAAGTTGATTCGCTCGCCTCGGCCTCCCAAAGTGCTGAGATTACAGGCGTGAGCCACTGCGCCCAGCCTAGAACATTATTGTAAAATAGAGATGATGACTACTTGTAAACTTGTTATAATAAAAATCCAGTATTTTTTTTTAAATTTTTTTTTTATTATTATTATACTTTAAGTTCTAGGGTACATGTGCATAACGTGCAGGTTTGTTACATATGTATACTTGTGCCATGTTGGTGTGCTGCACCCATCAACTCGTCAGCACCCATCAACTCGTCAGCACCCATCAACTCATTATTTACATCAGGTATAACTCCCAATGCAATCCCTCCCCCCTCCCTCCTCCCCCCTCCCCATGATACGCCCCGGTGTGTGATGTTCCCCTTCCCGAGTCCAAGTGATCTCATTGTTCAGTTCCCACCTATGAGTGAGAACATGCGGTATTTGGTTTTCTGTTCTTGTGATAGTTTGCTAAGAATGATGGTTTCCAGCTGCATCCATGTCCCTACAAAGGACACAAACTCATCCTTTTTTATGGCTGCATAGTATTCCATGGTGTATATGTGCCACATTTTCTTAATCCAGTCTGTCACTGATGGACATTTGGGTTGATTCCAAGTCTTTGCTATTGTGAATAGTGCCGCAATAAACATACGTGTGCATGTGTCTTTATAGCAGCATGAAAATCCAGTATTTTTAAAGTTTTAAATTTAAAAATGATTTTAAGAAATTAGTAAAATTATGAACAAGTGATAAATATTCAACTGTCTTGCATTTTTATGAACCTAGGGTAAACATAATATATTTACATAGAAACATATTCATACTACTGTAAGAATATTCTAATAAGATAAATTTTTACTAAATTATAATTAAAAATTCATGTTCAGAGATAGTAGTATACTATAGATACTAGTATCCCAAGTATTTCTAATAGTAGTGGTAGTAGTAATAAAAAGAATAATGGAAACAAAGTATTCTATTGATGTTTGATATTAATATAGCAGATAAAGTAATTATTAAATTATATTTGCTGTGTTGCTGTTAAAACTGGAGAATCTGCCATTTAAAAATTTACTGGAACTTCATTTCTGCTTTCCAGGGTGGAATTTTCTCTTCTTCTCTTTGTGGTGATCCCCCACTATACTCTGGGAATGTCTGCATTTGTGGGCTTTTATTCATACTTATAGAAAAGCACCTACATTTTCTTCTTGAGAAAGTGTTAATCTCCAGAAAGCAGTCCACGTGCGGACACTTGAGATGGAGATAATAAATGTTGTCCTCGGTCATTTTGTTTTGATCAAGATTGCCTTTCTTAGCATTATTGTTTCTTCATTTGTTCTTAGGGAATGTCTGTTTGTGAGTTTTTCTATGCAAGCATGTACTCATAAAATTCTGAAAACAGAAATGAAGCTTTGTTGCCTGTCTTGGTTCCTTGACAACATTGAAGCTTTCCAATGCTTAACATGCTACACTAGGAAAAAAACACAGGTGATTCTGTATTTTGGGATTGTCCTGAAAGGAGCCTAGGGTGAGACCAATGCCTGTGAGTAGGGGGTGGAGTTCTCCCTAAGAAGAATGCATGATCCCCGTGAAGCAAGCTGGGGAGAGGTCAATCAAGGGCAGAAACTTGATTGGAAATCACTCAAGAGATTGGGGACTCCTGGGGGAGTCAGGAGGAAGGAAAAGCCGTTTCTTTTCTTTCTCACCTCAGGGAGTTGGTGTCTAGACTGCAGAAGAAGATGTATACTGTACTTAGGAAGCTCTCCTTGCCTCTTTGCCAGAAGGTAAGCTGGACTTTATAAAATAGAGGAGACAAGGAATGGCAGGAAGGTTGATTTTCACCACAGTGAGGCAGGTCAAGATCTAAACAGGAAAAGGTGTCAGGAGATGACTGACATGTGGCTTGGGACTGTGTATTCTAAACGCAGCCACAACCAATTTCAAGTTTTCTGTGTGATATAGTTCCCGTCCCTGGTTTCTTTTAGTGACGTCTTATTAAGCATTACATAGCGCAGTTGTGCTTTAGAGAATTGAGGGATGAGCTTACCATTACACTTGCAGTAAAGCTTCTATAGGGGAGAAGCACCGCCACCCTGAGATGTACATGAAATGAAACTCAACTCAGAACTGGGGGGCATGGTCCAGCATTAGATTGGGGTATTCCAAGTGACCAGTGAGTTCCAAAATATAATTTGAGAGCATGTAACAAATGGTATCAGGATTCCCAGAGGTACTGGGAGAAAGAAACCTCATAAAAGAGTGTCTCTACAAAAGTACATTTATAACAAAAAAAAAAGTAAAAAGGAAGTGCTACTTTATTTCAAAGTCTTCTGAGGCCTGGAGCATATGCATTAAAACAGTTTTCCTTTGTTCAGCTTTTCTTGTTCTTTATCCAGTTCCTGACAAAGCAAATGTGTTCAATTTCCCACCTGTAGATAGAAACATTTACAGTTTTGTCTTTCCAGTGAAGGCCTTGATTACACTTGAGTAAAAGGCAATAGGACAAGAGGAAGAACAGTGATGTTAGAGCATATAAAGAATAATAATAACTTAAAATTGGAAATACTTATTTTTATAACTTAATTTCTGAACATATGTTAATACATTATATATGTGTTAATTTTATGTATAAAACAAATCCAACTGTACTTACGAATACCTATCAGAATCCCAAACAGTTTGAAAATACCGAATATAGTAAAACTATCACAATATCAACTAAAAATTTCTATTTGATTAAAAATTATTATGAAGATACACATATGTTCACAAGCATAAATTTATTTGATTTGGGATTGTGTACATCTACCTTAGATTGAGATAACTTTTGAAAATATGAGAAAATTAATCTGAATAGCAGGCAGAAGAGGTTTATTTCATACTATCCATTCCTTTCTTCCTTCCCCAAAAGATTCTTTGATATCTCCTCCAAGAAAAAAATCGGAAGGAACCTAGAAAAACTTGTCATGCTGTTTAAGGAATGACTGTTAGGCCAGCCGACACAAAGAGTGGAAAAGAAAATGCTTGAATGTAGGGATGTAATGAAAATGATCTGGCTGATCATAGAAATTGCAGGAGGGATTCTCTCATGAGATGGGAGGTGAAGGATTTCATTTCTAAGCTTCCTTTCAGCACTTCAGATTCTATAAATTTGACAGTCTTGTCCACCATTACTTGCTGAATTACACTGGAGTAGGTTTGGTTGTTTAGTTATTAATGTGACTGCCATCTTTGCTTAGCACCCTTTATTCCTTGTGCATTTTTAAACCTTTCTTTTACTTGACCAAATGCAAATACATGTACTTAGATTCTGCCTACACATCAGTAACATTCAAAAGAAAATACATACTTAATCATGCAGATGCTTTGTCCAACATGACACTAAACATTTGCAAAAAGGTGATATTCTAACACTTTAGAGGACAGTGATTGAGTTGTAGCTACATCGAATCTGTGAAAGCACATGGCAGCCCTGTGATTCATTTAATCTTTGAGGATATGAATAACAACAAAGAAGTCAGTGATCTGGGCTGCCAATTTCTTGTTTAGTTTTTACTTTCTATGGCTTACAAAAATATTTCTTTTATTTCATTTAACCTCATCATAGAAGGGTAAAATTGGTATTACTAATCTCATTTTATAGACAGGAGAATTGAGGCTTAGGCAATTAAAGCATCTAGCCCAAGGTGACCTAACTAGTTAATGATGAAGGAGAACTGGTTAATGAGGAAGCAGAGACTTGAATTCAAGTCTTCTGACTTCAGAATTTATTTTCCTTTAGCATCAGATACTTGTTTTACTTTTCTGGAAAATAGGTTTTAGAGTTTATATCTTAATTTTTAAATTTTATTTTATTTTATTTATTTTTATTTTTTATTTTTTTTTAATTTTATGTTGAGACAGAGTCTCACTCTGTTGCCAAGCTGGAGTTCAGTGGCACGCTCTCAGCTCACAGCAAACTCTGACTCCCTAGTTCAAGCGATTCTCCTGCCTCAGCCTCCCGAGTAGCTGGGATTACAGGCACGTGCCACCATGTCCAGCTAATTTTTGTATTTTTAGTAGAGATGGGGTTTCATCATGTTGGCCAGGATGGTCTCTATCTACTGACCTTGTGATCCACCCACCTTGACCTCCCAAAGTGCTCGGATTACGGGCGTGAGCCACTGTGCCCAGCCTATGCCTTAATGTTTTTACACCTCAGTGGAAATGGTTTGAATTAGAATTATCAAATGCAAGTAAAACACTTATGGTATTACTAGAATATAGCAGAATATAATGTATGGTTGCTTAGTTTTATATTATTTCTGTAACTTTAAATAAATGAAAAATGCTTGATGGTGTCCTTTTCTGATAAAAAAAAAAAAAGTTTTCTGTCTCCTTCTCTGAATCAATTTACCATGCTCTCAGTATCACAACAGTTTTCAGTTGAGATTTTATTTATAAAGGTAGAAGCTTCTTGAGACAATTCCTTTTTGTGGTCGATAAAGCATTTCCTGCTTCTCCTCAACAGACTACCACTGGACCTGACAGTGGTAAAAACTGTCTCCATATGCCCGAGAGTCCTCTGTAGCTTCTGTGAAGAGGCAAGGTGCCTTTTGGCGGAGACAAAGTATATGTCATCTTCCTCCCCATCTTTTGTTAGGCTAAATTTGAGGGACTAGAATATAAACATTTTTCAAAATATTGATTAATGTGGTTGTTTCTATGTTAAAAAATAAATTGAATCAGTTGTTTAGCATCAAGTGTACAAAAGGAAATACGTTGATTTTTTTCCCCACATGTCAGTTGGCTGTTACAGTAAATATTTTGGCACTGTATAGACATTAACATTGTCTACATGATGCCAAAATGATGTGTTGACAAAAGAAAAATGCAAATAAACTAGTTATATAATGTTTTATAGCTACAACTGTATTTTTCCTGATGTTATGTATTTTTTTCTAAAGCAGTATAATTATATGATGTTTTATAATTTATGGATATAAAATTTGGGATATTTTTCTTGATTTTAGGAGGAATCAGAATTATTAAGAGCCTATTTACTCATTTAGACAACTAATCTAAAAATTGACTTCATATTAAAGACTGACTTACAATACAAATTTTCTATAAAATTATACTATGCTGGCCATAGTGAATTAAATAAAAATTAAGACAATAAGTAAAATATACACATATAAAACGTATCTATGATAATAGAATGAATAGTAGAATTTTGGCTCAGACTATTTTTATTTATGAGTAAATAAGAAATATAGTTAAATAATAGGGAAAACAGTATAATTAGATATTTCTTCAGGAGTCACTAGAATAAACACAAAGATGAATCACTTAGCATATACTTAGCACAATTATAGGGGCTGTGAGGGACACCCTGCTTTGGTTGAGGAAAATGTAATATTTATTAAACAATGTTGAAAATATACAACAGAATATAAGTGCTAAAATACATTCTATAATTGCTTTAGGGGTACCAAGGAAAAAAAGATTGATGAAGGCTGTGTTGAAGAGGTGGTGTTCCAGCTGAGCCTAAAGCAAAGGTCAAGTTTGAATTGATAGAGGTGAGAAAGGAAGACATTCCAGATGAGAAGGGCAACGTGAGGGAAATCCTAAGGGTGAAAGTAAGCAGGGTGTGCATTTCCAGATTGTCTGTGAAAATATAATACCGAGTGCCTTTATTTTAGACATGGTTCTAGAAAATATCTTGAATTTCCATCTCCTTTCTGATTTTGCAGACCTTGTCTTTATTGAAGTGTTGGAACAGTATTAGTAATAACGTTTATTAGACAATAATGAAAAGAAGAATGATAGTAATCCGCTGTCATATTATTTGTCTAATCTGCAATTACAGTTCTCACTGTCAACATATATTAATAAACAACCAGTCTTAAATGCTGTTCTCTAAATCCATTACTTAAATAGTGCTTTACAAGTAATGTGTTGAAGAGACCATGGTCTTAAGATTCAAAATCATGATGTAATTCAGCTAGATTTTGAGGCAGAGGTGGAGAAAGAAGGGCTGTGCAAAATAGCATGATGAACTCTGGTCTTCCTATTGGGTACTTGTAAGCTTTTCTCTAGGTTTCTTGAGGCAAAACTTTTTTTTTTTCCCAACTAATGGGCAACTCCAGACCCCTGTATATTTATGAAACAACTAATGAGCAACCCCAAACACCTATATATTAATGCTGTATGTGTGAGTATGACAGGAGACATTTTATCTGCGTGCAGATAAAATGATATGGTTAGGCTTGGTAGTCCCCATCTAAATCTCATCTTGAATTATAATCCCCAGGTGTTGAGGGAGAGACCTGGTGGAAAATGATGGGATCGTGAAGGCAGTTTTCCCCTTACTGTTCTCATGATAGTGAGTTCTCACGAGATCTGATGGTTTTATAAGCGTCTGACATTCCCCCTGCTTGCACTTCTCTCTCGCCTGCTGCAATGTTAATACGTACCTGCTTCCCTTTCTGCCGTGATTGTAAGTTTCCTGAGGCCTCCCTAGCTATGTGGAACTGTGAGTAAATTGTACCCCTTTCCTTTATAAATTACCCAGCCTCTGGCAGTTCTTTATAGCAGTGTGAAAACAAACTAATACATAACATTACAGGCATTCGGAGCTTTATAATCAAAGGAAAAAAGTAGGGAAGAAGTAGAAATAACTAAATAGAGAATGATTTATCAGGAGAATAGAGTGAGATCTGCTAGAAAATTCCTTCAAAAAAAAGTGCAATAGGTGAGAATATTTTTTGGTAGTTCGCAAAGCAACCTTTCACTTTTAATAGTTATATATTGAATATACATTAGTATACTACAAAATGAGTGGGGTGTGTGTGTGTGTTTGTGTAATAAGCACAAGAAAACAAAAAATAGTGTGTAGTTTTTACATTGTGGTTCCCAAACAGTAACAGTATCACCTGGGAGTTTAGAAATGCAAATCATCAAGCACCACCGCAGATACACTGAATCAGAAACTTTGCAGCTGAAGCCCAGCAATCCCTCCAGGTGATTCTAATGTGTACTAAAGTTTGAGAACCACTAATTTGATGAATATATAATTGCTTAGGGTAAGGCTAAATTAAAAATTATTTAAATTTAAAAATATATTTTGGTATATAAGTGGTAGTTTAAAAAGATAAATATAATGAAAGTAGCATTTGAGTTACTGAAGTTAAAAATAATGCTCTCCTTTGTAGTACTGTAAAAACTGTGGCTTGGGAGAATTTACCATGAAGAACAAATAAGAAAATGAGGAAAAATAAAGAAAGAAGGAAGGAGATGGGATTTAATGTCAACTAACATGTATCAGTAAGAAGCATGTGGAAGATCCTTTATCAAAATATTCAGTAGGTCATTTGTTGGGACTATCTTGTCTAATGTTGAATATCTGAACCTCATTATTACAAATAGTCCAGTTAAAGATAGCAGGGCAGAAAAATCCTTGACTTTATGTCCCAAGCACAGAAGCACTTCCCAGATGGCCTGAATTAATGGATATTTTGTTGGTTAAAACACCAAATGTCTAAAAGCAAATTAGAGTCATTTGGGTCAAAAAAAAAAAAAAAACAAAAAACAAAAAAAAAACCCATACTTAATTTTCTTTCTATTTGGCAGTAATCCAGTTTGAATTTTTCTTGTGCCACTATCTATAATCAAGGAATTTGTGTAAACCTCAGGGGATTATATTCTCCTTCACAGAGAATGCCCAGGATAGGCTATTTCAGCCTCCAATGTGAAGCAAATGTGAAATTCTGTTTTTTTTTCTAGACTTAGATTTAATAATCTAGTACCCGAATTGATTTTATCAGGCAAGTGCCTACTGGTAAATTTAATAAATCATAATCTTTAATGATGTAATTTCTGGACATAGAGCATATTAACTCTAAAGAAGTAAATGTCTATCAGGCATTTAAAAAAGAATCTTAGTTTAGGCTTTGTCTCTAGTTTATACTAGCTCTGGTTTTAATGATATATTTTATATATTGAGCATATATTTCAAATTCTAGTAGCTAATCATATTATTCAGTGGCTATAAAACCCACTTTTGTTATATATTTATCATTCAAGTATTCTACTACATGCAATAAGAAATAGCCAATGTACATACTAGAAATATCAGAAGAGAGTAGCAAGCATTAGCAATCCTTCACTTGGGAAGAGGCAGGAGTTCAGAAAGAGACTATATGTCATGAGTAGGGCTTGAGAAAAACAGAAAATGGAACAGGAACACCAAGTCACCAATGAAACCTTCAGTACTCCACATGTCACACTAAGCACAAGGAGAAAGCTGTGGTCCATCATTGGAGAAATTTGGAGTTGGTAGTGCACTGAGATAAATACAGCAACTACAAAACTCTCATCCATTTCAATTACTGGTGAAACTGATTCAACTACCAACACTAACAGTCTTAGAGAAGAAGAGATATATCAATTTCTGGGTGCAAATAATAGTTACCTCAGTCTCTACTGTTTCTTCACACACAATGTTTGATGTTTATTCATATCTACTTTCATTCCTGTTTTTTTTTCCTGGGGTGTGTGTGTGTGTATGTGTGTGTGTGTATGTGTGTGTCAGACAAAAAAAAAGACCCATTGGCAAGAAAACAAAATAGTCAGTAGAAATAGAAATAGAGATATCCCAGACGTTGGAAAATTTCGGCAGTCTTTGAAATAACTATGATTAATATTTTTAAAATCTAGCAAAAATGTAGACAAAATATTAACAGGAGAATTTCAGTAGAAGACTGGGAAGTATAAAAAAAAATTGAAAATGCTTAACAGAAACAATTCCTTTGCACTTATCTGCAAACTAGACAAAGAAGAGGAAAAAATCAATGAACTTGAAGATAAGTCATTTGAAATAATTCAACTTGAAATGCAAATAGGAAAAAGAGAGAAGAAAAGAGAATTAAACATCCAGAAATGTGGGACACTATCAAACTCTACAAAATACCTAGACTTGGCATCCCAGAATGAGAACAGGGAATAGTGAGAACCCAACAATTCGTGTAGAGTTACAGGCCAAGAATTCACCAAAATTTACTGAAGTCAACAAACAACAGTTCCAAAAATCTCAAAGAACCCCTAGCAGACTAAATATACCTACGTACATCATAATCAAACTGCTTAGAAACAAAAATAAAGAAAAAATCTTGAAAATACCCAAAGAAAAAAGAAACATATAGAGAAGAACAAAGTTAATAATGGCAGTAGATTTTTCGTCAGAAAGCTAGTAAGAAAAAACAAAAGAGAAAAACAATGAAGTGACATGTCAGCTGGGTAAAGAAACAAAACAAAACAACTTGTCAACCAATAATTCTATACCCAACTAAATCCCTTTTAAAAATAAAAAATATGTAATTTTTCACATTAAAAACAAAATTAGAGAATTTATCACTAGCTTACCTGCACCACAAGATATGTTATTTAAAATAAGTCTTATAAAGGACAGAAATAATATGAGGTCAGTTGGAAATCGATGTCTACGGAATGGATATGTCCCAGAAGTGGTAAAAATGTAGACAAATATAGAAGAGATTTTTTCCCTTACTTTTGACCTTTTTAAAAGATAAATGATACTTTATAACAAAAAGAATGGTAAAATATTGTGGGGTTAATAACCAGTGTAAAAGCAAAATATATGGCAGTAGTACAAATGATAGGAAGGAAGAAATAGAAGTATACTGTTGTAAGGGTCCTGTGTTGTGCAAAAAGTGGTATACTATTGTGTGAAGGTAAGCTGTGATAAGTTAACAATGCATATTGTAAAATGCAGAGCAACAATTTAAAAACTAAAACAAAGATATATGGCTAATAAGCCTATAGTGGAGATAAAATGAAATTATTAAAGTGCTCAACTCAAAATATAGCAGAAAAAGAGGAAGAATGAAACGAAGAACAGATGGAATACTAGATAAGAAATGGCAAGATTTAATCCCAACCATATTATAGATTTAAGCCCAACCCTATCAAAAGGTGTATTTGATATAAATGGTCTAAATACTGAAATTTACATGTAGAAATGGCCAAATTGGATTAAAAAAACGAGCTCAAATATTTACTATTTATAAGAAAATTATTTTAAAATAAATATGTCAAAAGTAAAAGGATGGAAAATATATACCATGAAACACTAATCTAAAGAAAAATGGGTATTAACAGAGATAAAGAAAGAAATTGCATGCTGAAAAAGATCCATTAATCGGGAAAACATAACAATCCTAACAATCCTAAAGGTAAAATTTGAATCACCTAATAATGGTACTTCAAAATACATAAAGCAGAAAAATAGTAGAACTGCAAGGACAAACAGACAAATCCACAATTATAGTTTGGATTTTCAAAACTCTTCTCTCAATAATAGATAGAATAAATAGGCAAAAAATATTTAAACCTACAGTTGGTATTGTACTTCTGCTTAATAGTAAAAACCTATCTGACCATATCTAGTCAACATTGTTAGAGGTCATAGTCACTTCAGTAAGTCAAGGGAATGCATACTGATTGTAAAGAAATACTGTGAGCTCTTCACTCACTGATGATATGATTGTTAATATAAAAAAATCTCAAATGTAAATTTATAAAAACCTAACACTAAAAAGTAGTAAGTTACAAAGGCCATAAAATTTAAAGTTAATATTTTAATACTCAATTGCTTTATATACTAGTGATAAATATTTAAAATGGAAATTAAAAAAAATACCCTATCCAACAGCATCAAAAAATATGAAATTTCTCTCATCACTTCAATGAAATATATGCAAGACATGCACTTTGAAAATTATAAAACATTTCTGAAATTAAAGAATATCTAAAGTAATGGAACTATATAATGTATTGATTGACTCAAAATTGTTAAAATATTACTTCCCAAATTGGTCTACAGATATAATGCAATTTTATTCAAATTCCAATCAGGACTACTTTGGGGAATTGACAAGTTTATTCTTAAATTTGTATGAAAGCATCAATAATTTAGAATAGCCTATACAATATAGAAAAAGAGAAAAAATATCTGAGCACTTAGACACTGCCTATCAGTGAGTTAGCAATTAGCTTAGCACAAATCTACGTTAGTAAAGACAATGTGGTATTGGCATAAGAACAATCATATAGATCAATGGAACAGAATAGACTACAGAAATAGACTCACATATGTTAATTACCTTCAAATTAACTTAATAAAATAATTCAATGGGAAAAGAATAGTCTATTCAACAAACAGTGTTGGTGTAATTTGATATCTACATAACAAACTTTGACAACTAAAAAAATTAACATTATGAACCATAGACCTAAACACAAGAAAAGCTGTAAAACTTCTAGGGGAAGACAAGAGAAGCTCTTTGTGACTCTGTTAGCCAATGATTTCTTGGTATCGGACCATTTGTCACATCTTTGTAGGATAGAACCCTGCAGAGTGACTGATACATAGTAATATTGAAGAGAAACATACTCAGTATATAAACACATTTTCAGAAAGTTTTGAAAGCTGATTTGAGTAGTATGAACCCTCAATTATGCTGGCCTTTTGCCTAGAACCTTCATAAACTTTTGCATGTTGGAAGCATAGGCCCCTAATTTGATTCTGGAAATTCAGAATTTCTATATTCATTTGACAATTGGGACACTCTCTAACAAAATATTACTCTATTTGAATGACATGTATTTCTATGGCTCCTTGGGGTCCCCAAATTTCCAGGAATGTTTTTCTAAGTCATCCTTGACTTCAAGATGGAAAATACTGGCATATCACCTAGGTCATGTTTTGGATGCGGACATGGACTTGTGTATGAGAGTCATTAGGTGGGTGCCAGGCCTTCTGTGGGAATCATGTGATTTACAGATCCTGCTCTTGCTCCTTTTTCTTTCTTTTATTCTCCCATTCATTTACTTGCTTCTACCTCGTTTTGATCACCTTCCTATTTTATGAGGATAAGAAGAAAGACAAGGTGTGAAATATGAGAAGGGAAATGAAAAAGAAGAGAATAATTAAATGCAAGAGAATAAAACATGTAGATACATAGAATTCTGGAAACAGAATGATAAATCTTTCAAGGAAGAGTGAAATCCAAATAAAATTGTTAAAAGCTCCATCTGTAACATACAAGCTAGCCAGAGGGTGGGGTTGAATTTGGAAGTATTTGGGTTTTTAAAGTCTTCCTATCCATGAAATAATGTACAAAGTAAACTAAAATATTTTATTAGACATTGTTAAATGTCATTGAAAATCATGTTCTAGGAAAATGTTTTTTCCTCCAAACAACTTTGTAGGTAATAAAATTTCAATCTAAAATCTAGAAAAGCCTTTACAAGTTCTAAAGATTTTCATGGAACCTCAGCCATC